AAAAAAAAAAAAAAAAAAAAAAGAGAGAGAAGCAACAATTTTTCACAACCTTCTTAGAGTGGCACAAAGAGAATACATTTTCCCTTAAGAATAAGAGAGATATAATGCTCAGAAAGAAATTAATAAAACTCTTTTCGTTTTTCCGTCTTTTTCCGTTACTTTTGGATTAATAACAATTATATTTTTTTACTTATTTTATTATATAACTGCTACTATTAACTTAATGAAGACACATTAAATGTTATTCTAAAACGTTTTAAAACTATATATTTAAAATTGTTTCTTTCTTTTTCATCCCATTAAACAAGTTTCTTTTATTATAATTATAATTAATTATTTTTTATGGCATAATCAAACTTTCTAATGATTTGTACACAAATACTACAATAATAATTTCAATTTTTTTTTATAATTCATTTCATTATCATAATTGACTAAGATTGTGTAAATTTAAAGATTAATATATAGGTTAAATAGTTTATATTTATATTGTCATTATAGTAATGATAAAATTTATAAATGTGATATGCTTATTATCTAATTTACGATTTTTAAATTTGACATAAAACATATATATATATATATATAGGATGTATAATAAATAAAATTTTATTTGCATTTGTGCATGTGCACAGAGTAAAATACTAGTATGTATTGAGAGGAGATTTGTGTGATAACTATTTTAAAAGTGAAACGGGCTGTCATTTTCTCGATATTATGACGAGAAATTAAAAATGAAATGGGCCATATCAAAGCCCATCCAAGTTAAAAAAAGAAATAGCTCATCTAAGTAGGGTACATAGTAAAGTCCAAGTAGGGTACATAGTAAAGTCAAATGTGACAATGTATACCGGCGCATTATTGGTGGTGTTGGAGATGTAGGTTTCCCTCAGCCACTGCAGGTGAGCTCTGTATTAACAACAAGATAAGATGATTCGTTTGAGAGATTTGAGTATGAGATGTTTTGTTAGTTCATCGAATAGGATGATTATAGGGGACGTAGGTTTTTTTTCTAATAATCGTATGATAATCAGCAGCAGCAGAAGAAGCAGAACAGATAATAAATCGCATTATGTTGTGAGGAATTTTTCTTCTGATGATAATAATAGGGCGACAGATAATAATTCGCACTATGTGGCTAGGAATTCTTCTTCTGATGATAATAATAGGGCGACAGATAATAAATCGCATTATGTGGCGAGGAATCGGAATTCTTCTTCTGATGATTGCGTTAAGTCGCCTTGGCTTATGCTCCCCCCCTTTGTGGAATGCGGAGGCAACATGTTATACAATTTGGCAGAATCCAAAATAGAGAGATTAAGATCAACATTGGATGGAGATGATATTGATGCCAAATTTGTGGGTTCGTCTCACGGCTGGATAGTTGTGCTGAACCGGTCCAACCATGGGCTACTCCTCTGGAACCCCATCACTCAGGTACGCATAAACCTTCCATCCCTCCTCACCTTGCCCGATCCCCAAATTAACTGTTGTGGGATCGTATCCAAGCTCATACTCTCCTGCTCCCCCGACCAAGATGTAGATCAATGTCGTGCCATGATGATTTTTGGGCCCCTTGACAGGCTGGCTTTCTGCCAGCCCGGCCGCAGCACTCACTGGACCCCCATTGGACATTTGTATTGGTATAAGAACTTGTATTGGGAGGCAGACGACGACGACGACGAAGACCATGCCAGGCGGTACGCCGATTGCGTCTATTCCACCACACAAAAACTATTCTTCTGTTATGTCATGTGGAGATTGGAGTGTTGGGATCTTGGGGACCTCGAGTGCCCCAGAATTTGTTGGTCGGAGATTGTATGTTATACGCCTGGGCTTGCTAGTGAACAAGAGACGATGGCTCTCTCTTTTACCACTGCGAGTTATCCGAATGTGATGATACAGAAATTCCTTGTGGTGGCAGAGGAGATGAATCAGCTTTTCCTCTTGGATCGGCACGTATGCTTACGGATGGGCCCTGACGGTACCTATCATCCGCTTATCTACTTTGGCAAGTATAGGGGATGGGATGACCACTTCCCTCACCAAACCTTTGCTTTCGATGCTTTCAAAATAGACTATATTTCGGCACAGCTTATTAAGACTAGCATGGAGGGTTCTTTGGATGGGCTAGCAATGTTTATTGGCAAGAACCACTCATTTGCCATCTCCACACCAACCACCCATGGCCTAGAAAAAGATTGTATTTACTTTACTGACACAAATAGACACCAGCCTCCAGTGGGCTCCACCTATGGGGGCCACGATATCGGTATTTATCACTATGCGACCAGAACATTTTCTGATTGCTTTTATCCACGCAACACCAACAAAATAAAGAAGATTGTGCCTGCACCCATGTGGTTTACTCCCAACGAGAGCACACACTAACCGATGATATAGCAAATTATCCTAATTGCCAGATCATCCTAATTACTCTGTTTTTTCTGCTCAGGATTAATTTATCTATTTTTGCTTGTCTTGTATTCTCTGTTATCCATTCATCTTCATAATGTGGATCATGATTATTTAGAGTATATCTAGTATTTATGGATTATTAATCTTGTCGTGTTAATCTATTCCCCTTTTTCCTTTTCTTTTTTGTTTTTTTAAATTGTGAATATCTTTGTCATACTTATGAGAAAAACTAATAGGCCTTTATATGTGAACCGGTGCCATGGGGTGGGGAGTTACCAAATTGCCCTTCATTTATCTTTTATATATATATATATACATATTATATATATATACTAGTTGTCTTCAGCCGTGCACGCATAGCGGACACAAATTTAGTATAAAAATGTAGTGAAAATTTTTCGATTATTGTAGCTCAGTTGTTGCTTCTCTTTTTTGGACAGTTGTTGCAACTCTTTACATATATTATGTCTGTTATGCTGATGTCTCAAGATCCTTTCTCATATTATTGCTATTATTCCTTACTCATTTTCAAACAAATCTTAAGCGCCACATATTAAATATGCAAATCCTTCATTTACCACACACAAAAAAAATAATAATAATAATTTGGAATACATTGCAAGCAACTGTACATGGTTCTTAGTTTTCATTGGTTCAGTGTGTTGACTTTACATCCCTGTTTTTCTCTTTTTGCATGGTCTCATAAACAAATGCACCACAACAAAATCAAATTGAGGCAAAAGATGATTTTTCAATCTTATTAGTATCACCTTTTCAGTAACAGTGACGTTCAAATAAATGTGGTGGAGAGTAATAGCACAAAGATACCTGCAGGCGAAAAGAAACAAAAGTTATCAACCGAAAAATATGAAGTATCTAAACTGTTGAGACTAAGAGGTAGCAGTCATTTGGCGATGCACGTACAACCGGACCTAATTTGATTTATAAAGTTAAAACATTTAGTAACCGAGATATTATTTTCTCTTTTGTAGTTGTAAAAACAATCCTCTCCATAATAAAGTGTCGTTAAATCACAACCAAAGCTGTAGACCCTAAAACTTCAAACCACGGCTTCCTTACCAACAATACTTCGAATAACTATTAAATTCTACTAACAAATCGTTAGAACCATGCCCCCTATCAACAATATACTTCCTTGAATCCGCAAACTTCAACAATATATACTTCCTTGAATCCGCAAACTCCAAGTGCACGAGCTTCTTCTTTAATTAAGCCAATGATGGTCCCAATAGTCACCTATGACAATTGCAAACAATGAAGGGGGGAATAATTTCAAATAAGAATTAAGGTTTTCTGCATCTAACTAAAAAACAATCACCCAAACAGTACTTGCCAGTGCATCTTTAGAGAATGCATATAATTGGATAGTCGTGAATAAAACTTTTTAGTAATAATACCAATTAGATCAATAATAGATGTCATAAAATGGGTGTAAAGGTATACCCCAGTTTGGATAAAATGCAGTAATCTCCACACCAATCCTAAAAAAAAATGAAGCAATCAAAGTCTTTACATTTGTGCATGGCTTTTTAAAATGGATATACTATTTACATGTTCCTCTACATTGACATCAACGTTTTTAAACTGCAAAACACTTCAAACTTCTCTTACAAATATACCTTCTTTTTTAGCAACCAGGTGTCTACAACTCTCCATTCTCCTTTCTGAATAATTTTGATGGCCATGTTCTGGTTTTTGTATCTGTAAAGATGATCCATCTGCTAAAAGGCCGGTCATCCTTCACAATCATTTAAGAGAAAATGTGTAAATTAAAGTATTTGTGTAAATTAAATTTAGAATTTATAGATAGCATAAGGAAATGAAAGGAATTACTCATCACGGACACTTGAGAACCTAGGCTTATAGCTGGGGCGACCTCGTTCACCTGAAACACAAAAAGTAATTTTTTTATCAAATCATACTATCAAAACCTAAATCTAATTCTTGTATCAATTATGGTATAAGATTAGTGTAAAGATGATCCATCTGCTAAAAGGACGGTCATCCTTCACAATCATTAAAGAGAAAATGTGTAAATTAAAGATCTCATGTAAATTAAATTTAGAATTTACAGATAGCATAAGGAAATGAAAGAAATTACTCATCACAGACCTTTAAGAACCTAGGCTTATGGCTGGGGCAACCTCGTTCACCTGAAACACAAAAAGTAAATCTTTTTATCAAATCATACTACTAATACCTAAATCTAATTCATGTATCTATTATGGTATAAGATTAGTGATCAAGACAAAATTTCACTGCTTAAAAAATGAAATGAAAAGACAGAAAAAAGATGCACCGACCGTGTTCTTACTTTTGTTTAAATGTTTTAAACTTTGGTTACTTTCAGAAGTAGGAATTTACCCATTGCGAGTTCGAGACTGAAGCTCGTTATGCATTTCATTTTTTTTTTTAAATTAGCTTTCTCTTCTTGTAGTTGCTGAAAAACTTCTTCAAATGAAAGAATTACCAACTCCATATTTAACTGTTCAAACAGAACATGCAATCTTCTATATTCAACTTCATGTGACTTCACAGATTCTAAATACAATTAAAACCTAATTAATTATAAGCAATGAAGCATTCTTCATGTTACAGAATATTTTACTATATTTTACAGTGTCTACACAAAGGAATCTACTCATTATCATATTAAGAATGTAACTATCACATACAAAGCCATATTGTGCATTTACAAATGTGATATGACAATTATTAAGAATTCAAGGTTTAACCATTTATCACAATGACAATTTATTTTTGTGTAATTCAATATCTTGGATATAACTAAGAGTCCAACAACATAATATCGAAAGAAGAAAGTGCTTGATGAAACTTACAACTACACATTAAGTTACCCTTTTCGGAGATTAACGAAACTGGAAATTGAAATAAAAAACAAGAAGCTGGTGAACATGTTTATAAACAAATAGATGGTTCTCATTTAATTTGCTTCAAAGCTCATAATCACAACAAATCTAGCACAAAATGAACAATATTGTGGAGTAAGACAACTTATCATGGGATAAAAGAAAAAGGGGTAGAGCAAAAGGGATCCTCCAGAAGAAATGACATCAAAATACTGGTCCTCAATTCCAGTAAAGAAATGTGCCCTGTGCAAATAGAAACATTAATTAAAATCCTTATATCTTATCTATAGATCTAAATATTGACAATAAAATTGTTAGAATTGAATTTCTTTGCTAGAACCGACCACAAAGAGACAGTTACGTATCTTGTTTCTTGTCCACCATATGACGCTTTTCTTCTCAAAGAGAAAGCCCTAATTCAGACCCGAAATCCCATAGGCAATTCACATCGATCAAAAATATGAGGGAATAATTAGACCCAAATCATTTGCTAGGTAAGAAATTCCTAGAAAAACCCATTTCAATTGAAGTTCAATTTTCCCCCAATTTCAATTGAAGTTCTTATCAACCTAATTCAGAATCTCCAATGAAAAACAATAACCTTTTGAGTCGAGAAGCAATTTATGGTTGTGGTGTGGGTGTAATATCCCGACTTTTATCAGTATAATAATATTTTAGTTCCGATGTTATTTTTTGGAATTAATCCTTT